AAGGAGTTTCCATTCTTAAGCCCATACTGGGCAACAGCACTCAAGCTGGAGCAGTAAGAGTGGGTTTTGGCCGGTATGGAAGAAGACCTCAGCTGGTCTTGGTAACCTTAACAGGTTCCTCAAAGAATCAAGTTGCAGGCATTCAAAAGACAAATAAGGCTAGCACTGGAAATAAGTCTCCCTTCTGTCAAGGAGAGTGGAGGCACAGTAAACTGCGTACTAGGGTATGGAGCATGCCTTACCCAGACAAAAAAGGGTAGGCGTGGACTCCAGACTCTGCTATAGCAAGAACACAGGAGATGTACCCCTTGAAACACTTACTGGTGGGCCATGGATTAGGCCCAGTGAGGGGGATGAAGCTACTGTGAGCTATTTACTTAAAAGAAAAAAAAAACATTTATTTTAAGTAAGATCTACATAAAAGGTTGGTTCTGTCCTCTCACTGTAGTGGAAAAAGAACAGAGACAGTTCTGAAGGACGTGGAAGAGGCGTTTATTTATATAAAGCATAGCAACGTCAACCCTCATGATAATTCTTGTACCCTCTGTATTCCAATGGACTTCTACAACTCAATGCTATGGATATCATTTCCCCCAAGTGAAAACACAACATGCCCTCAAGAGAGAGGGCCATGCATTTCCTCTCTTCCGGCATATTTTAGCAAGCTTCAGTTGCTGTACAAGTCCATAAACAGGCATAATATTTGTAATGCTCCCAAGTACCTTTAAAGTTCCCCCAAAAGGGAAGGGAGATGTCATTTCAAGTGTTTCAGATTTGCCTGTTCTGCCTCCAGAATGAACTTGGATGAAACAGGAACAATGCTGAAGCACATCATGTTACATTTACACTCTTAGTAAGAGTTCCTGTGAACTAGAAGAGGAGCTCTGCATCATTTCCTACATCAATCTGAAGTCCTGAAGCAGAGTTACTTCCTACATTTCTATTTTTCCTCCTCTTTGGGCTTCTAGTGCTGAGGCAGGGGCAAAGTTGAACTCTCATTCATGCCCGGGGGAATGAAAAGTAGAATTCTTGGCAATATCTCAAAGGGATGGTGGCTTAGAAGAAAGTATGAGCCTCTGCTTCCTTGCTCTCAACACTGCTTACTATATGCCCATGACTATATTTACATAGCAAATACGGGCAGCCTCTGAGGGCCCACTGAGGCCCAAAGATGGCCCTAGAAAACTGCCATGGCACCTCACACCACAGGGCACAGGCAGCATCTCATCATCACATTCACTGCCCCTGCTCCTGGAACTAGTTAAACTATGTACTTTTTTAAAAAATGGGTCTCCTAACGTACCAAGAAAAATGAATGAGCCTGTTGTGTGCATTTATATTTAGGTCATTTTTCCCCATGCACTGACAAACATAGTGATTGGAAGACAAAGAGAAGCAGCAAAAAGTAGCAGTCTACTGCAATCCCTACTCAGTGGGCGCATCTACACATGGAAATGATCTGAGAGCAGTTTACTCTCAAGTAAACTACTCAAAAGTAAATTCTCCCAGGCAAGCATCAACACGATGCAGGAACACAGAAGCAGATTCTCTGCTCTAAACAGCAGACTGCTCCCACTCTCTGCAGCCCTATAACCAGCCCCTGCAAAAGCTGGGGGAGCTCTGGGCTCCCCCTGGGTGCTAGGCCAGAGGCCACAAGACAGCTGTCTCCTGGCAGGGGCTGGGACATTATTTCCTGCCCCTGGGAGCTGCCTGCTGCTAGGGTGGACTTGTCCACCAAAGCCCAGGCAGGTACAATGTCCCTGTGCCCCGGCAGCAGGGAGCTCCGAGCCCCCGCTCCACAATTATGGGGCCAGGGCTGGGAGATCCTTAGTTCCCAGCCCAAGCCCCGCAGTCCTGGGACCCAGGCTGGGAAAGAAGGATCTCCCAGCTTGGGTCCCAGGACTGCAGGGCTTGGGCTGGGAAATATGGATCAGGACTAGAAGGATTTCCTAGCCTGGGTTCCATGACCACTGGGCTTGGGCTAGGAGAGAAGGATCTCCCAGCTGTGGGGCTCGGGCTGGGAGAGAAGGATCTCCCAGCCCGAGTCCTGCAACTGTGGGCCTCAGGCTGGGAGATAAGGATCTTCCAGCACTGGCTCTGTGATGGCAGTGGGGGCTGGGAGCTCCCAGCTGCCAGGGTCAGGGGACACTGTCCCCCCCCAGACTCCAGTAGTGGAGCCCACCTTGGGAACAGGCAGCTCCTCGGGGGGGAAGGGAGCAATCTTCTGCCCCCTGCTGCCCAGCTGACTGGGAACACATATGCCCCCAGATCAGGCGTCTACATGTGCGCTACTGCACAGTTACTAATCACAAGTAAATGTGTTACTTGCATTTGCAGTAAACATCTATACACATAGGCATGAATGCTTACTGTGCAGTAATTAGTTCTACTATGCAGTAAAGCATCTTGTACAGATGCGCCCAGTGACATTTTATTTTAAGTAAGTTTATACATGCTTCTTGCTTATACTTTTTCTGCTCAAGAACACAGGGAAAAAATAAAAAGTTATTCAGAATATACATTGCTTCAAAATATAAAGAGCTCTAGACTTTTCCTTTTCTGAAGAAAATTGGCATGGCATAGATCTCCCCTATTTTCCCATTTCCAAATTATACCTTCAATATACTACCAAACATGTCAAGCTGATAGTGGGTAGGAGCGAAAGTGTAAAAAGAGAGCAAAGGAATGGAATCCAAAGCTAATAATGCAGGAAATAAAGACTGCCTACTGTAACTGAAGACCAATACTGGAACAGCTTAGTTCACACTAGGACTTCAGGAAAGCAATTAATCAATCTCTACTAACTCGTCTAAAACAAAACAAAAAAAAAATCAAGTGAGCCATATGCAATACCTGACAGTCTACAATATAATGTCCACAGCATGTAAGAAACAGGCATGAGGATGCTCAATACAGTGCCAGAAATAATATTTCCAACATTTTTATACATATACAGATGAAGTAATTACATGGCATGGTAACAAAAAAGGGGCTGCATAATTCACAGCAGAGCTGAAAATCTGAAATATAGTTCCAAAAAAAGCATTTTCCAGAACTTGGAAGTTATCAACATTAAAGAAATAAGTATGCATCTTTGAGGAATGTATATTTTGCCTTTGATATGCTTCTCCAACTTCTATGGATGTTCAAGGAAGCTCCACATGCACAACACGTCAAGCCAGAATAAACAGTGACACTAACTGTGACCTAGACAAGATCTGAAACAAAAAACTATGCTGATGGAAAATGGTGTCTCTGGATTTCTTTTCAGGAAGCTGGTGTTTGTAAATATATTATTTGTAGCGCATAAAGAAGTTACAGGTGTCTTTTGGACTTCAATTTTATAAATCTTAAGTTTTTCAGTTTTATTTATTTAACTGAGGGAAAAAAATGGTGCAAGTTCCAGTGGTGTCCTTACATTGCTGTAAAATGTCACAAAAGCTCAAAAAAACCACTACTGAGTTATCCACACCTTCTCTCATGAAAAATTAATGGAAAAATCCACATAAATGTAATACAAAATAAAACTACATCTCAGCTTTCTTACTAGAGTGAATCCTTTTCCCATATTTAAACCTTGCTACAGATTGGAAGCGCCAGAGAACATTTACATTTAACACTTCCGTTGTTACCACTTTTGCAGCAAGTAAGGAATCCTAAATGTCCTGTATGGGAGAATTCCAAGGTACTTCATTTTCTGAGTGTCTTATTAACTCTAACCTATGTATTATAATGATTACATCTTGCTCTCAGGCTTAGACTATGGGGCTAGATCTTCAGTTGGCTCAATTAGCAAAGCTTCATTAGTATCCATAGCACTATACCACTTTACCTTGACTGGTCCATTATTAATCCACTGTTTTATTTGTTTCCCAATGCTTTTAGTAGTCACTCATCAGATCACAGCTTTAAAAGCTTAAAATTCGTCTCCAGTCTATGAATCATCATATTGACGAAATTCAGCTATCAATAAAGTGTGTTCTGCCTCCTGTTGTTGAATATATATATATATTAATCATTTACATAAGTTAAATATACTGCAGTATAATTAATTAATTAGAATATGTTTTAATGCAACGTCTTTTGCATATTAATGCAAAGGCTGCATAACCTCTGAGGACAAGGGCAAAACAACAAACAAAAATGAGACTATACAGCTAAAAGAAACAACATGGCCTTCCCACAGAAAACCTATATTTTTGTATATGTTGTTTCTTAGGGTACTGTCATTCTTGCCCCTTTCCATAGGTGTTTGCTTTCCTTCCTTCTCTACTGTTTGCAATATGCTCAAAAAACATTGTGGCAGGCTATTCAACTAACTTTGCTGTGAAGCTTTGGAGAGCCATGGCCTACCACATTTCTGACCTTACCACTAGCTTGCCCTTTTGGGGTGCGACTGGCTTCTTCAGAGGAGCAATACAAACCACGTCCCCCATGCACACCCACACCCATCTGCGGGGACAAGAGCCACACATGGAGGTGTTCTTAGACAACCAGTCACCCAAATTCAAAAAATTACCAAGAACCTACATCTCCATTACAGCACAATGGCAAATCTCACACTGACTTCAACGGGAGCAGTTTCTTGCCTGCATACAGCACAGCAGTACTGAAATCAAGAATAATTTTAACATTATTTTGTTCAGCAGAAAAACACAACAGAACCTTTATCTTGGTCAAAAGGCAAAAATAGATACTTGCAAATAATAATCATCTTCCTTTAATATTTTCATTATGGTAAGTAATATGCTCAAAACATTCTAGCAGGATTTGGGTCTCGTTTTGGCAGGAGCTGCACAATGGAGGTCTATAGTCCCTACATAAGAGGACTTATAACAAAGCTGAGAAGCAGCGCAAAGAATTGGAAAATGGGAGTACAGTATAAATAAATATCGACTTTCCCTAACCGCTCAACTAAGGGACATTTAAGATGCAATAAAAGTCACTGTAAAGTTGTCCTATTAATTCAGTGGATCCTACTATAGGAAGTTACTTCTTACCTTGAATAAATTCCACTGACCATGTTGGGCTCAGAAGAGAGTTCCACTTTGCTGCTGGGCCCAGCTGCTTTGGAAACAAGCAGTACAACCAGTCCTCGCATCTGTAGGTTATTCTGGTTATCATACACAAACTCCCTGCCAAAAGGAAAGGAAAAACAAAATCACAATCCATTCTCAGTGCTCACAAAAACAAAGCAAAAAAAAAAAAAACTAAGACAGAGACTCAACCCTCAGTTTGACTTTATTTCATCTTAAATCTCTAGGATCCATATCAATGGGTGAAGGAAACTGCAGTTATCAATCAAGATCTTTTGTCACCTTTCCCCCATAATTTATGGTGAAATCTTACTACTACAGATAAGAATAAGATTTCAATCTGGAATACCCATTTTTATTTCCTAGGAACAGTCTACACCCAACATGTCTGTCAAGATGTCAGCAATGGAATATTTCAACATAATTCAGGGCTATACAGTATAAACAGTAGCAACATGACATTTTTAGTGAGCACCAAAAAGAGAGGAAACCATAGAAATTTAAGGTGGGTGCAACTCAAGTCTAGAATATACTAAAAATCAAGTGTTTCGATCAGATGAAGCATATCAGAATGTACAGTAATTACAGAAGGTACACGCAGTACATTAAAACACTTTGAAAATGCTGAAAAAGGATAGACAAAAAAGTTACCATTTACCTGAATCTAAGAAAACTTTGAATTCAAGATGACTGCCAATAATTAGACTCTGTACATGGAAAATTATAAATCTGTTATAATTTTCCATGTATACAATTTAATAGTGGAAATGTCGTCTTAAATTTGTTTCCCCACTGCTGTAGCAAGGAAAGCAGTTTCATAGTTTAGGGTCAGAAGGGACCTGAGCAGATCATCTAGTCCGACCCCCTGCCATGGCAGGAAAGAGTACTGGGGTCAAACGACCCCAGTAAGGTGGTCATCCAACCTCCTCTTAAAAACTCCCAGGGTGGGAGCCTGCACCACCTCACTTGGAAGCTGGTTCCAGTTGCAGGGGGCAAGGGGCCAAACCCCCATACCTTGCCTCTCAGCTTCTTGCACCCACAAGTGCCTGTACACCTGCTGCGTGTCCCCAACCCTACCATGCTTGTGCCTGCCCCACCCACTCCCTATTCCCTGCCCTGCCACCTGCCTACTCCACCAATGCCTGTCCCCTCTCTACCCTCTGCACCACCATCAACCTACTGCTGCTGTACTCTAGCTCCGTGACAGACAGAAGTGGCAGCAGCTGGACCTACCTGGGTCAGGACTGGAGCCAGAGCAGAAGGCAAGTGTTTGGGAGGGCAGGGGCAGAGGGGTGGAAGGAGGGGGTAAAGTGGGGGAAGTAAGTAACATCTTCTGCATTCACCCCATGATGCACAGAACCAAGGGTCAAAGCCAAAGCAGAGCTGCTGCCTGCCCCAGGCCAGTACTCAAATTTAAAAGCCTTCCCACCATGTTTTTGGGGGCGGAGGGACCTTCATAGTGGATTCCAGTATATATATAGTAAGTAGATGGGAGACAGACTGATAGTCTGAACAAACAAAAAATCATTTCAAATGCTGTATCTTTAAATTCTGTTACTTGTTTCTCCCATGAACAGTTCTTAATTACCAATCAAAATGAATGCAGCAACTCAAAAGTTAAACTTGTTTAAAGGAGAAGCCCTGCGCTCCTCCTGAATCCCCACATTTCTGGAATGGCAGCCTCTTAGTCTTTATCAAATGATTTTTTTTCACTCCTCAATACCCTAATTAAGGCTAAAGGTTTAGCGAGAAGGCTTTTATATACAACAAATTATTCAGAAGTTTGTAACCTTATTTCTAGCAGACAGAATTAGATACATGATCCTTAATATTATCACAGCCTTTTGAAAAATGAACCATACAAAAAGTATGCCATAGCTTAATATATAATTTCTCCCCCATTTTATTGCTGTGTAGAATTTTAACCTTTCTTGATCTCAGGAAGGAGCAATGTAACTGCCTTAAAAAAAAACCAAAAAAAACAGTGCTCCAGGAAAGCAAAGTTTTGAGAACTAAAAGTTAGCAGCAGCAAGAAGGAAAGAAGACTAAGTTTGGCTTCAAGTGCTGCTTCTATGTACTCGTACATGTTGCACGTGCTTGCCCCAGCATGCCAAGGATCTTGGGACAAACTGGAGGTCCTTTGGGATGGTACGAGCACCCTTTTACAATAACAAACGTTTCATAGCCCAGACACCAGAGGGCCAGAGAGACATCGCCACAAAACCCCAGTTCTTTCCTCCAAAGTCCAGAGTCCAAAGAACAACTGTGTCAAAAGGCAAAGATAAACCTTGCTTGCAAGGAACCCAAGTTCTTGAAGTAGTCAATTCTTTTTCAAGCAAGTCATATTTTGGGGAGTTGGGCAAACACAATGACCCTTAGAAGGTGAGCTGAGGCTTATTTAATGTCAAGGACTGCAGAACAGTCTTCCCAAAATAAGCATCAGGCATGCTCATTAAGAGAGCAATATTCTCTAAAGATGTATAGGGAATTCCAAGTAACAGCCTAGCACATTGCTATGATTCATTGATTCAACCTAAGCTTGGCAGAGGAGAGCTTCAAGAAGTGATGTTCTGATGCCCTATCTAACACATTTCAATTCTCACCCTGTTCTTCTAGACAGGTACATTCCCTTAACACTGAGCTTCAAAGGAGGGAGAGTTAGTACCTACAACATATGATGGAACTGCAGGTAGCATCTACTTAATCTTCCTCACCTTTAATCCTCATACCCTCTCATCCCCAAAAAGGATTGCAACATTACGGTCAGAGCTATCACAGGGAAGTGTTTCAGTTTGTGACAACAGCAGTGAGAAGAAAAAGGAACCGCCTCTTCAATCCCTTTCCCTTCCAGAATAAAAACACTGGGGCACTTTACAGTAAGAAAAAAAATATGAATGAATTGTTAGGGTAAGATTGTTGTGATTTTTACAGTCTTTTGCCACTTTACATGACTGCTTTCATTTATATAATGGAATTAGACAAAAAGTCATCACTTTATCTGGTATTTAGCTCAGGCTATCTCTGTTCCTTTTGTACACCTGAGGAAAGGCACTTTGTTTAACATCTCTCCCAAATATACACTTGGTCCAGTAACACCCTCCCCAAAAAAATCTTTGCTTCTTAGTGTGACAGACAACAGTAGTTGTTTGATTTCTGTTCTCAGTAGGTCCCAGTCACTGCCTCTGCAATATAGCTTACACCTTGTGTTCCACTGGATTGCCACCTCTTCACAATTCACATCACACCTGATTCAACAACTGACTCCTGGTGCCCCACACCTGGATTGGGGCTAGCCTGGCCTGGCCTCCCTCCAACCCCCATGCAGCTGGATCAGGGCCAGGCCAGCCTCTCCCCGCAGCAGCCAGTGAATGTACAGTTTACACATCTTTAACGTTATTATTCAAATTAATATCAGCTCTCAGTGCTACAACATTTAGATACAGGGTGATACATTGTTTTCCTCATGCCAAGAAAGTACTGATAACTAATCATTTAACATCTTCTGGAATTCCAAAGTCAGAGCTACAAGTACACACCAAACTCTTTCCAATACTGGAAATATATATTATGAATAATATATCCTGTGGTGGGAACAAGTTTTCTAGCCTGAACTTAAGTTGACCACATTACTCATAAGCTGTTAAGTACAAGAGAGTTAAGCAGGTCATCTAACAAAGTGCAAATACAAGCTACGTATTTTCCTCAACACCATCCACATATTTTATTTGTCATACTGCAGAGAAGAATGACTCCAGGACAAGTTGTTAGTACTATTTTTTTCCTCTTCGCTTCTGAAGCCAAATTGCCTTCGTTAATACATACAGGACCTCATGGAAAAAGTGAGTACTAATAGTTTTTAAAACATTAACAAAAATAATCCAAAGTTATCTTTTTAAGATTTTAGTGTCCCATACCTCAAAATTTGCCAGGACTAAAAACAAACTGCATTATACCATACCATTATAGAGCAAGTGAACCAGTTGTCCTATGGGAGACTAGTGTTGGCTCTTTTGATAATAAATAAGACACTGGCTGAGGAACAGATATTTTGAGAACTGAATCAGTAGTTTTATAACTCTACTTCTACCCAATTTAGTTTAAGAAAAATCAAGTTGAAAAATAACTTATGATTGAAACAAAGCATCATCATCAAATGTTCAACTGTGAGAACTGTTGAAAGGTTCCAAATGTCATTAGTATAAATTGTTAAGGGAAAAAAACAGTGATAAAGCATAGCAGAAGTGTAAAGCTGTATAGCTAACAGGATTGTGTGTGATGGGTACCACCCATTCTACCATCATGCAATTATATAAAACATATAAAGGGATCCTGGCTAAAATTATATGCATGGAGTTTTTATATAGGATTATCAACAAAATTGTATTCATAATCCAATTCCATTTAAAGAAATGGCTGAGACTGATACTGACATGTACCATATTCACACTAAAGCAAACTGCATTGAAACAAATAAAGCCTAGGGTGACCATTCTTTGGACACCAGAAACTACTGCAGCTATTTGACATGGCTTCAGGGGTCACATTTACATTCTACCTGAATCAAGTTCCCAGGAGATATTCTGCCTCAGTAACAGCTACACACAGAAGTCTTCCAGATGGTGCAATTAGTCATGATGGGTATGTGGCAGAAGACAGGTGCCTCTAGGGAAAAAGTGAGCTGAAAAGCAACCCAAGAGAAATTGGGCATATGCAGAAGTAGTAGGGCGTGGAATTTTTGGAAAACCTGTGCAGAACAACACAACAAGTATGAGCGGAGGGCACCCAAGAAGAGACATTAGTGTGATTTTATTTGCTGTAAGTTACAGACTGGGTATCTTGAAAGTACACTCTTAATTCTTATGGGGGGGATTAGATAGATAGATAGATAGGAGTGACTCTGTAACAGTGTGCCACATTCCAATTTTACAAAACATTTAAAAAACACAAGGGAAAAGAAAAAAAAAATCTACTCTAGATGTTAACCATGTGACAAAATAACCCATTTGAAAACTGACAGATTCACAGGTTTAAATACAGAATGCTGTTCACAAAAAGAAAATCAATCTTGATGCACAGGGGAGAAGAGTCTAGCTCTGAAA